GCTATGTCATTTGGAGGTTCCCTATATTGTTTGGAGGTCATCCACCCGAGACCAGTTTTTCTCCCTGTATCATCAGCACTTGGGAGGCTACAGCAGGTCTTGTAAGTTCGAGGCCTGCCTTGGCATTTAGTGAAGCCTTACCTCAAGAGCTAAAAAGTGTGTGGTAGGATAGGGATGTAGCTTACTGGGAAAGCCCAGAGTTCGATCCCCAGTACCAGGGAAGAAAAAAATCTCAAAAGCCAAACTCCTTAGCACAACACAGAAAGCCCTTCACGGTGGACCTCTGCCCACCTCCTCGTCTCATTTCTTAGTACTTCCCTCCAGTGAGAATTGCACTCCCACCTCATCAGCTAGTTGAGATTCCCTTGGCATGCTATACTTTTCTCTCAGCCTCAGCTACTTGCCCGCACCTACTGCACCCTCTGCCCTCATCTGGTTACTGCCTAATGAACCTTTAAATCTCTGCCCAGATATCTCTTCTCAGTGGAACTTCCCAGATAGCCCACACCCATAGGGACACCCATGGACGTGCCATTCATTGCCCCTACAATGGACTGGAAGCTCCTCCTCAACTTCTGTACTGTCCTTGCCTATTGCCAAGCTTGACACTGTTCATCACCTCTGGCCCTCAGTAGGCTGCATATTTTATGAAGATGACCCTCAATGCAGAGCACCCTGCCCAGCGCTGGAACACCCAACACACTGAGTTTATGGATGGGTGGATGGGTGATGGGTGGGTGGAAAAAAGCCTCCTTTCAGAGGAGTTTGGTTCATAAATAAACTAGACATTTTTAAAAAAATCCAAACTTGTGAGCACGGACACATAATGAAGACTTCCTTTGCATTTCCATTTTGCAATATAATCCTCTAGAAAGTGCCTTGCTTTTAAAGACTCTCCTATTCAAAATCTGATGATTTTGGGTCTGATAAGGTCAGTGAAATCCCCTCAGGTCCTGAGATCCTGTACCTCAGATTGTAGAACCTTTGTCAGTGTTAGCCATGTGGATGAGTCA